GGATGAGTCACGGCCATTGCTTTGCCAATGTGCTCTCTGTGAAAGCCTAAGAGAATGTTTTCTCTCCAAGTGACTCTCCCCAGGCACACTCTACATCATCAATCACTTATGGACATGATTTTTAAGAAAGGAATCTACTGTTCCTTTCTAGTAGCTTTTATGTGTTTAACAACACATGGCATTAAATCCTTATTCTCAGATTTAATGCTTGCCACTTGGAAGCCACCAAACCTGACTCACGTGAGAGCATGCTGGTTTGCACATGTTGGTTGTGTGTGCACTGTGAGAGGACGTGAGGTATAGGATTCAGTTGTGTGGCTCGTCATGTGTCAGACTGTGCGGCACCTGCATCCCTGGTCTCTTCATCCTCCCCTTGTAGGCTCTTTCAACTGAACACAAACTCTTCAGAACCAAAACTCTGTCCTGCTGCTGGTGAATGTAGGGACTCGAGGAGACTGCTGTGCATCTCCTGGCAACTACAGGAGTCTCTCTACTTGGTAATTCTATAATGTTGGACATGGCATGGACATGCAGATCGGAAATATACCGTAATACAGTAATACTCATGTATTTTAAGCTGCAATCCCCAAGCCTCCAGAGCAGCAGTCATAATGCAGGTGTAATTCTGTATAATGTATTGTCTGCCATGAACAGTATCTATCACATTGATAGCTCTTTCGGTATTTTAATCAGATTTTTATCTTGGTCTTTCTCAGGTACTGGTATCTTGGACCTCTCAAAACCAAAGCAGCCCACTTTTTCAGCACTCTTCAGGTAAATGCAATGTATAATGCAGAATTTGTCCTGTTAGTCATTTCTTGGTGATAGATGGTGATATTTTTTTATTCCTCAATGCAGATGCATGTGTCTTGCGCCAACACTGAAATGGACTGCATTTTACTGTGTACAATTTCAGAAAATATTTTTGTTTTGATAACAGATCACCTCTCATCTGCCTATTCATTCCTTCTACAATCAAAGGTTTAATTTCTCTTTGGTATTTTACCTCTCTTTGTTATTCATTCACTCATCTTTGTTAGACAAACCTTGAAC